TCATTTTACTTTCTTCTCTCATCTATTACTTTCAATTTAGCCTCTACTAGGCTGGACTAAAAAGCCAGATTCAGTTAAGCCTCAGCTTTAAGTTCCTTCTTAACCAGAGTCTCTAACTTCACAGTAATCCAGACTGATGAACTTGAGATCATCTCCTCACCTAAAGTGGTGTGATAGCAGTGGGAAATATCAGTAAGACAACAAACACAAAATGCATAGTTAACTCCAGGAAGCTCAGGAAGCAGTAAAACACTATAAAGATTGTCAACTAATAGTACTGCTGGACTCAGATTTCTTTTTGCTTCTTAAATAGTCACCATGCTCCTTAATGTTAATATTTCTTTCATAACTATAATTGCAGCATACCATAACAGAATATTATTGACCTACATTGTGATTATTATGCTTCCAGAAATAACAATTCTTTACGTTGGTAACATTTATCATTATTCTGTGTATTACAAACATATTGCAAATGACAAAGGGTGTAATGGAATAACCCCCACATGCTGTGTATTAATTTTTCAGTACTAACCTAGGATAAGGTTAACCACTGACTTTTGAAAAGTGTTCACTTGTCCAAACTATTAACTTTTCGTCTTGAGGTGTAGTAAATGAACAGATTATACTAGTTAACCATTTTCTTTACAAAATTGAGAAATGTAAAGGCACAATCTGATTTTCTTTGCATTACAGAATCTTGGAGAAGCTGAATATGTAGTAGCACTTTTTATGTACATGTGTTTACTTGGTTACCCTGCTGATAAGATCAGTATCCTAACAACTTACAATGGGCAAAAGCATCTTATTCGTGACATCATCAATAGAAGATGTGGGAGTAATCCATTGATTGGGAGACCAAATAAGGTAATTTTATAAATATGATCTGCTCTCTATTCATTGTGCTTGCAAAATGGAAAGATTTCTATTTATTCTGAGTGGTTTCTATTTTCCTATTTTGTTTCTTTGCTATATCCTCTTAAAACATGTAAAGAAGTGAAACAATAGGGACTATAAATAATTCTATGGCATTCCTACCTGACAGCATTATCTATTTGCTGTGAACTCTTGTCTCAGCCACCACATGGAAGATTTCTGTTGATGGTAATTAGAGATAATAAATGTTTCTAAAACTTTTTGTTAGTAAAATGGTGTATAATAAAATGACATTTTTTATACACTGTTATAGTAGAAATAGAAATTTGTTTTATAAAAGATTATAATTTATACTGCTTTTTATTTTATATGTGTGGGGGAGTGTTTTTCTTGAGGAATAAGGGTGATGTAAAATGCATTCAGACCTTAGGTTTTCTTTGATCTTTTATGTGATGTAATGGTACAATACAAAATAAAAATGAAAATCATTAATTTTATAAATAAAAGATTAAATAGAAAGTATAACAAAACATAACTATAATTTCATGTTTTGTTGAAAATAGGAAATTGTTTATATCTGATGAAATTAGGACTTCAATTGCAAACAAATCTGTATAAAAGCTTCTACTTTTTCTGGAAAATAACATTTGAAATATGATAATAAATATAAAAACAGCAAAGGCATAACTAGGAGTTACCCTATAATCCAAATAATCCAAAGAAATCTACAGGTGAGCTGTCTGTACAGTAACTGAGGAAAAAAACTTTCAGATGTGAAAACTATCCAACCTTTAGAAAAAGTTCCTTTCACTTCAGTTTACTCTGTTGCCCAGTCTAAGGAACCTACTCATTCATTAATAAATAGTAAAAAGAAAAGCTTAACTTATAAAGGAGAAAAAGATAGCATCAAACATACCAATTTGATGTTCCAGAAAACATGTTGGCCTGGAACAGATGAAAATTTTGAATATATGTTTCTTTTTGAAATTGAAAGGCATGCTGGAAGGAAGGAATAGACACTGTAAAACTTTCATAAAGGATCTAGAAAATGAAAATGAGAAGCAATTAATTCTTGAAATATAGAGAGTTTAGAAATAGAAAAACCTCAATATCTTCCAGAAAATCTTACCTTAAAGAATATTTTATCAATTTATATTTTAAGGTCACTATTTCTCATTAAAAGTGGATGGAAGTACAGTGACTCCATAATATTATCAAAGACCAAGCTTAATTTCATGCTGCCGTTCTCAATGTGTGAGCCCAGTTTTTACACCAATGTCCATGTGATCAGGATGGAAGCAGTTTCTAGATAGAACAGCTATACATTACAACATAGGACTTATATCCAGAATATAAAAACTCATAGTAAAAGTTATAGTTAATTAAAGATAACCCAATACGAAATTGGGTAAGGCAAAACATTACCCAAGAAGATATACGAATGGCCAATAAGCAAATGAAAAAATGCTTACAGCCCTTAGTTGGAAGGGAAATGCAAATTAAAATACAGTCATGCACCACTACACATACTAAAATTATAAAAATTAACAATACCAAGGGTTGACAAGAATGGCAGGAACATCTAGAACTTTGGTACTAGAACATTGCTGGTGGATGTATAAAGTGATACAATAACTTTAGAAAACAGCTTGAATGTTTCTTGTAAAGTTGGATATACACTAACCATATAGCTTAGGAATTCCATTGCTGGAAATTGATTCAAGAGCAATAGAAACATATGTCCACAGAAATATTTACGCATGAATATTCATTGCAGCTTATTCAAAAGCCCCTTTCACCTATTCATGAGCAATAAAATGTATGAATTTTTTTATTATTTTATAAAGATTTATTTATTTATGCATACAGACCTGGGGTACAGGTCAGAGTTGCAAGGGCAGTGAGCGTGGGGAGCAGAACAGGCTGACTGATGAAGTACAAAAATAATCTATAATAGAAAACAAATCAGTGGCTGCCCTGGGGTAGAGGAATACAGGCTTTACTCTAAAGAAGTAACTGCGGTGATAGGAAGCTTGATCACAGTGGTCACTATATGGGAATATATTTTGTCAAAATTCAACA